ATTGTTAAGTGCATATAAGCAAAAATGATCAAATATTATTCTTGTGTTTATTCAGTGAAAACAGCGTGGAAAACATGCTTTAATTATTGTTTATATAAATATGTATATGAACAATTGTTTTTTTTTTGGTCACACTAATGTTTTGGTACTAATTAACAGCCAATATGCTAGTAATATGCATGCTAATAAACAAATAGTTAATAGTGAGAATTGAACACTAAACTAAACTTATAATATATTTCTTATGAATATATTAAAATATATATATATATATATATATTTATTGCTTTTCAAATATTTGAAGTTTTTTGCTGTATTTTATTTATTGCACAAAACTTGTGCGTTCCCACGAGAGAGAGAGAGAGAGAGAGAGAGAGAGAGAGAGCGAGAGAGAGAGGCTTTCCCACTTCAAAATCCGTTTGATGCTCAAACCAAAGGCTGCATGTCCACTCTCATTCTCCTGTTCGGCCTTATTTATTTACAACAGAAGAACAGATTTTCCTTTTTCCATGAAACTAAAGGAGAAACCCTTTGTGCACAACAACAGACAACAAACTGCGAGCAACGCATTGCACAATAATCAACCTTAGCATCAGGAATTAGCAACAGTAACAGTTACAATAGACACAAATGTTAGGGTCACTTCACTCCAACCAGATCAAGGCTTCTGAAGTATACTGTGATTGTAGATGTAATAATATTTAACTCCAGGCACACAAAATCAGTGCAAAGGCCATGTTTGTTTTGAAGGCATTAAAAATGCATGAACGCAGAGAGATTGTTGCACCACCTTCTGTATCGCATATAGCAAAGCTTATATGCAATATATTATTCCAGCTGATTTCACATAAGGCTTAAACAATTATACTTGAAGGTATATGCAATCACTCAAATAAATATTACAAATAAAAACAGAGCTCAACACAGAACACCTGCTACTTGTAATTTAAAACAAGAAAAAGACCCATACATTTTTCAGCCCAAAGTGTGGCAACTTAGTATTAGCTGTCACTGTCACTAAACTAAACTAAACTAAACTAAACTAAAATACAACATATACTAAAAAAATAATAATATATCAACAAAAAAACTAACAAACAGAAAGTCTGAATTTAGTGAATATGTTCAATTTAATTATATATAATAAATATGTGATTCTTATGGGTTTACAGTATTAATAATGAAATGAAATAAAATAATATAATAGAAATAAAATATAACGACTACAAATAAAAATAACAAAATCTAAAATGATTTTAAAAAATTAAGTAAAATAAAAACAACAAAAACATCCAAAAAGTTAAATGTTAAATTTAATTATATATAGTAAAAACATCTAATTCGTATAGGTTTACAATTAACAAAGAAAAAATAATAATTATATATATATATATATATTTATTGCTTTTCAAATATTTGAAGTTTTTTGCTGTATTTTATTTATTGCACAAAACTTGTGCGTTCCCAAACTGTGCTGTTTGAAAGCAATGGGTTCCTCTGATTGAGACTTTTTTTAAAGGGGTCATATGACGTTGCTAAAAAAGAACATTATTTTGTGTATTAGGTGTAATGAAATGTGTCTCAAGCGTGTGACAGAAATGTTACGCCACTTACCATACTGTGATGCCGTGTCACGGAGCGACGAGACAAAACCAATAAAACCCATTACAAACTAGGCATTTGTTGCATCCAGTGGGAACTAGATTTGTGCCGGTATTCGGTAATGCGGTATATCACGGTAATGAATATGCACGATATTGTTATCGTGGGCACTTACAACAAAAACATCCAAAAAGTTAAATGTTAAATTTAATTATATATAGTAAAAACATCTAATTCGTATAGGTTTACAATTAACAAAGAAAAAATAATAATTATAAAAGAATATAATAAAATAAAAATATAAACATAATAAAATATAAAATAAAAATGCTAAAAAAGTAAAAAAAAAACAGTCTGAATTTACTGAATATGTTAAATGTCAGAAATTCTGAATTTAGTGAATGTTAAATTCAATTTTATCTAATAAAAATATCTCATTCTTATAGTTTTACAGTAGAAACAATGGCTGTATGGTTGGTGTTTCCGTAGATGAATGGGTCATTTATAATCACTTTGGATATAAGCATCCGCCAAATGTGTCCATGTAAATTCCTGGTGGTATTTTGATGGACACTATGGTTTCCATGCTAAGTGTGCATCACGTGTTATGTGTGAGGCTCTACCTGCCACACCGAAGGGTCTGCGGAGGCCGGACGTTAGTTTCTTAGTGTTGTTATCTCTGAGCTCCATCCGGCCCACTCGAACGATCTGACAAACAAAACTGATTTTCTCCCTCTTCAGGTCTTCGCTCCCCAGATCCTGGAGAGAAACGCACAAACACACAAGCAAGAGTGTAAAAAAGCATGCACAATCATGAACTCAAACAGCACATATTATTTTGAGCCCCCAAGCGCTACTGGCCATACACCAGGTGTTTCTGCCTACAACCGACAAGATAAAGTCAAACGTGTTAGTTGAGCAGCTATCCAGAAAGGCAACGACTGATGCATGGATTGGTTCGGTGTACACAGACTGTTAGTACGCTGTCTGAGTGAAGGGTAAATTGCTCGAGCAGCTTTTGATTGGGGGCAGCAACTCATTCCCCGCTGGGGGTTTGTGCAAAGAGCAGAGGATTCTGGGAAAATAAACTGACCCTGACCAGCCCAGCATCTATTAAAGAAATTACCTCTAGCAAATGAGAATGTGTGGGTGCAAACAAGCACCAACATGTGAACAAACCAGTGCATATGCTCTAGAATTATAAATTATGCACATGCAAATACACAAAATGCATGCAATTAAAAACAAGCAAATATGCTAACAGTGTGTGAGCAACACAAGAACTTCAATACGATTCATTCATTATATGTTTTTCACGGCACAGATAATTGTTTTTTCTGTTAAATTACCTGTAGACACCAACGCACGTACATGGATGCACACAATACATGCAACAATGCAAACCAGGCGGCGTCTCCGTTGAGCTTCCTCCTCTAACAACCATTAGCTCGTTATCCTTTACAGCTTTAATGATACTGCTGCTTTCTCCAACACTTTAATTACCAATTCTGCAACACGACTGATGAACACGAATTAAAGTGTCACCCAATAATATCGTGATTACTCATTAAGGAACAAAGCGAGAGACGGGAACAGATGAACGGAATCAAGCCGTAAATGAGTCATTTACATGACGGTGTTTCTAGGAACGAGCTGGTACTGAAGCATTGGAGGAAATATTTGAGAGTTCAAATCAAACAATTAGGTCGTGCATGTAAATGGTTTCGTGTGGTCTAGCGGTTTGTACAGGTGGCACAAATTAGCACAGTTAGAAACCTAGTTAGCTGACCACCTAGATACCATTTTAAAACATCTCATTATCAGGCTCCCACATTTTCAGCCAACTTTTAATACAACATTGCATGCATTTTTAGCACAGAACACATTCAAGGTGTTTATTAAACATCACAGCAAGTGGTGATGAGAAAATGTGAGTGTGCCGTCGGCTCTCAGGCCTCGCACATTCACAATCCAATAACACCAACAAACCCATTCAAATATCTCAATCCAAATGAATTACAAGACATCAGAAAAAAAGCAGCATGTTGAAATTAATGGATAAAAACAGTCTAATATCATTTACCTTCTCCTCTTGGATGCGAGCTTCAATCTGCTTGGATGCGGTTTCATGTGCTCGGAACAGATTGACAGTGCTGGTCAGGTCAGGATCCAGAATATTCCCGTCTTTATCTCTCACCACCAGATCCAGATCTAAATACCTGCCAAACACACAAAAACAGTGTAGGAAAAACAGTTTGAAAGAGATGAAGATTTGTGTTCTACCGATCCAAATGGATACATTTACTTGGACATTACCTACTAAATGAATGTGAAAATGAGCATAAGATAAAAAATATAAGACAGATTAAATTGATTTTCAAAAAATATCAGTAGGTGTTATCAATGGTTTCAATCATGTTGCTATGTGGTTACTAAGGGCATTCTGGATTTGTATCGAGAAAAAAAAAAAATTTTCACTTAGTAAAGTTGACAAAGACAGAGACTTGAACTGAGAACTGAGAGTTGTACGTGTTGTGTCACTAGTGACTTTCTCTATCATCCTACTGTATGCTCACTTCCTCCTGCTAAAGTTAACAGGAACACCAAAACGCTCTGAGAGAGGTAATAAACTTGCTGCTATTAGACGGCTTTGAATGTGTTCAATGAGCAGAAAAACGTCTGTAAGCATGCAACTAGAATAACTAAATGGAACTGTAATACATTCAAATTGGTTTCCCTGTCTTCCTTTGATCAGCTGAACAATTAGCCCCGCCCCAAACTCATACCATTGGTTGATACGATGCAACTCTACAATTGTGGTTGGGTTCCAGAAATAAAATGTCAATATACATATACACACATACATACATACATACATACATACATACATACATACATACAGTGGGTACGGAAAGTATTCATACATACATACATACATACATACATACATACATACATACATACATACATACATACATACATACATACATACATACATACAACTCAGAGTGAAAAGATGGATCTCAAAATCATACAGTCACTGTTGGAAAGTGGTCAAATATGTACAAGATGCTGGAAAACCAAAGAGTGTGCCGGGGCTGGAGGATTTTTCTGAAGAACAGCAGGCAGTTGAACTGTTCAGGACAAACAAGGGACTC